GGGGCTCAAATAGGGGCCAAGACTGTTACCTTTAGTAGTTGATGTTAACATTCTACCTTGTGCTAACCTGTGAGCTATAGATCTCTCAAGAAAGTTGGATTGGTTGTTGATACATGAACATCATTGCATGATGTAGGCTTATATTGTAAATTTGTAGTAGGCCCTGCCATTTTGAAGTTTTGAACTTTCCTGTTTTGTCGCCTTTAATAAGGTGCATTAGATGGCACTAGATTTATAAAATGAGAAAAAGTTAAAATTTTGTTAATTGTACGTCTAGTAAGATCACTTAAAATTTCTTAGTTTCAGAATGACGTTAATGAGAAAGAGCTGACTGCACTTAAAGCTGTGATTAAGTGCATTGAAGATCATAACCTTGAGGAGCAGTTCCCTGTGGATCCACTCCAGAAACTGGTAGCTGAAATAGAGAAAGCAAAAGCAGACAAGAAAAGGGCGACTGAAGTTGCAAAGCCACAACCCAAAAGACCACGTGCCAATGGTGTTGGTCATGGGCCTCGAGTCACCAATTTCCCTACTGACAAGAACTTCTATGCTAGAACAACAGATAGGTACCCGCAGTACGTTTATGACAGGCAATATGCCTACCCTGGACCGACCGACCATCATGCTCCATCATTTATGGGTACTGCTACTTACAACTTCTCACCTAGTCATGGAAACTTCTTTGGGAATGGGTACCAGTACCAGACTGCTGCCTATTTGCACTAATCAAGTAGAGATGGCGCGACCGACTCTGATAATGATCTGTTAACTATTAGGGTTAACCTGTTTCAATTTGTTTAATGTGCAACTTATCACTGAATTTAATGTTTTAAGAAGGGCAAGACAAATTAGCCTTGTTAATTTCTAGTCTGTTGTAAAAGCTGATATTTCGCTCCTCTAATACATGCACTGTTTCTAATGTTTATATTTCTTTCTTAATTTGCCTGCCTGCCTGGCTGGGTTCATTTTCAGCTCTTGGTTGATTGAGTTCACTTCTATGTTCGTGCAGCTCACAATTTCTTATTCTTCTATCTTCGTTTGTTCTTGCTGTGATGTTGGAAACTAAAGATTTTGAGACACCAGTTCATCGATACTGGTGCAGGGATTAGGCTTTGCATTTGGACAGAAACTGATGCTGTCTGTCATTTCGTTATGTGACATTTTTCTTAAAATTGGCTTGGAAAGAGGGGTATGATGTGGGATGTAATTAGAGTCGATACGCCATCCAAATTTGGATTTTGCACGGGGTATATTCATCTGGACAATACTGCCAGGGAGGAAACAGTAGGATATCCCATTCTTGCAGTTATACCGTAAATTAAATAATTACTTAATACACATTTCAATAGCAAATTTTAGTATTAAGGTTCGGATCATATGATTGACAATGATTTTTCATTGGTATAGCATCATAACAATGAAACTAGACAGTATTAACAGAAAAAATTAATTTTTCGTTGATTATAATGACTAGTTATGTCAAATACGTATTTCGAGCTTGTACAATGACATGTTCAGATGAAGAAAAGGGAGATCAACTTCATTAACACGGGCTACGATTACTTGATCTTTATATTCAATGATGGGGATGATTATATAAGAGCTCTAACCGAAATACCTTGAATGTTATTTTGTTGTTCAATTTTTTTT